TCATCTCGCGTAGCCTATGGTGTGTTTGATAGTCGATAACCACCTTTAGTGCTTCATGTATGTTTGATGATGATGTCTCGATTTGAGTCAGCGCAGTGTGTTCTTTTCCCATGGATGCGAGGATTGGAGGCTCCTCCCCAGCTTGAAAATCGAGGTACACTGTTTTATGTGCGAAGCTTGAGAATTCGTTGCCAAAGCAGAAAATATACTCGCCTATGAAAGAAAGTGAGTGTCACCCTGGATTGATTCAACAGCGAGGTATATATCGATATACTAAACAAAAAATGCCGGGGGTTGGACAATAAAAATGTAAGATTGATAGCCCCCAATCTTTCTGCAGTAAATGGGCATGCGCAGTTGTGGCTTCACTTAATGCGCATGCGCAATGATTGCTTCGTGAGGGATGGTCCATCAATTCGCAAAAAGATAGAGAGAACTTTTCTGGACTTGTAGAAAGTGGAAGGGATTCTCTAAGTGCATAGAAATACGTCAAAGAGATTGGTTTTGGCAAGTAGAAACAAATCAAGGGACTAAAGTTTGAATGTTTTTGATAAAATATGGCTGCTTGGCATTTTCAAAGGCAGAGTTTCCATAGATATTGCAGCTACATACACGGTAGCTGGAAACAGCTGATGAAATGCTGATATGGCATGATAAATATTGCGTGATTCGATTTGCCAATGCTCTAACATACGAATTATATTGTATTTTACGGCATTGTATTGTATCATATTGTTTTGTATTGTACTGTATCGTATTGTATTTATCAATATTGTGTTTTATCGTACTGTTTTGTATCGTACTGTATTGTATTGCACTATATTTTATTTGTATTGTATTGTATTGCATTGCATTGCATTGCAATGTATTGTACTGTATTGTATTGCAAATTACTGTATTGTTTTTTGCTTAGTATAACATAGTACTGTATCGAACTGGACTGTACTGTATTGTATTGTATTGCATTGTACTGTATTGTAATGCATTGTATTGCACTATATTTTATTTGCATTGTACTGTATTGCATTGTTTTGCTTTGTATAACATAGTACTGTAACAAACTGTATTGCATTTTATTGGATTTGTATCAGATTATTTTGCATTGTATATGATTCATCTCACGATAGCTGTTGCAATAAAAGATAAGAACTAACTAAGAGGATTGCATAAAACAGATTACTTACTGAAGAAAGAACTTAGTTTTAGGTGAAGAATTACTTACTGAAGAAAAAACTTAATTTTAAATGAAGAATTACTTACTGAAGAAAGAATTTTATTTTAAGTGAAGAATTACTTACTGAAGAAAGAACTTAATTTTAAGTGAAGAATTACTTACTGAAGAATGAACTTTATTTTAAATTTTTAGGTGCTTAGTACTAAGGACATTCCTTTTTGATACTGGGAGTGAATTCCAGATTTTAGGCACATGACAGCTTCATGATCAGGTACAAATTGTTGGAGTTCTGATTTTTGGAATGTCAAGAGGTTTTTTTCGTTTTCCATGAACATTCATAAACTGAAATGGGTTTTATAAACTTCAAATGCCAACATTCTACCTGATTGAATGTATATCAAGGACCACATATAAAGGTTAGTCGTAATATCCTCTCTTTCCTTTACTTTGGTTTATATCGGCTTCCATTCTTTGGAGTTCTCAAGTGTGATGTCAAAAAAATCTATTTTAAAATATTTTAACTGTGACCACATAGCCTAGAAGAAAACAATGAAATACTTCTGAAAAAAGCAAAATTTGTAAATATTTCACAAATCGGGGGAGATATGGCCAAAGATAGATCTGAAGTTTGCTAACGGATTACTGTTATTCTGGCCTGGTTCATAAAGTTATGAACTGAGACCAAAATACAGAGGGGTCATTCCATATCAAAGGAGGACAGGCATGTAACCCAAAGTCTCAGAAATTGCTCATTTTTTGTGAAGACGTGGATAATGATAAGATAAACACATATACAAAATTTTACTTTAAAATCTTTTGTTGTTCTAAATATAGAGCATTTTGAAATTTTGCTGATTCTCAGCATTTTTTCCAATGTCCGCCATTTTGAATTTAACCCAGAGGTTAAATATACTAAATAAATGCCTCTACTTAGCATCTTGATGTCAAAATCATGTTTTTGACTGATTTACGTATCAGGATTTCAAAAAAAGTTAGAAAAAATTTGTGAGACACACCCACAGTCTGTAATTAACTAATTAATGAGGAGCAGTTGTTGTCATAGCAACGAGTTGTCAAGATGTTATGCAAATTTTTGTCATGTTGCACACCTGTGATAAATTTCAAATTTTCCAAGCACGAAGCTACAGTCATAAGTAACTCTTTTACAAAGAATTAGCAGGGTTATATTTGTCTTTACAAAAATACAGCCCTAGAAATGCTAGGTACTGTAAATGCCTCTTTCGTCTTCTTCACCTTGTTAAAAATTAGCAAATTGCTAGCTGAAAAAATTTTAAAAAATATGTAAAAGCAGGAACTGATCTTTTGACGATCTTTGTGTGTTACAATTTATCAGCATACTGCTAGAATACTGATATAAATCAGTTTGGGACATGGGTGTGGACATGGGTGTTGGCTCAGGGTGCGGAATGTATGCTGAAAGGTTGTAAGGGGCTTGAGGGCTGTAAAACTTATATTGGTAGGGAGCTGAGGCCTGTTCTCTGTAACAATTTATATGGTCATCATATAAAAAAGTCATGATACACCTTAAATATAATTAGCAACTTTAGCAACATCTCTGTCACAGAGGTAATATTGTCTGCCGGACAATGTTGATGTTCTTGGTGCTTCAACCATCATGACAACATTCTCTATAGGTACCCAGCATATGTCTTCTCTTCTGGGCCATGCAAATGAACAGCTTGGTAAGTGTGGGTGCAAGAAATTGACTTTTGCATCTTTGCTTTCAGTGTCTAATTCACCAAAAAGCCCAAGCCAAAGAAAGTCATCATACGAACAGACCAAAAAACATCCAACACGGAGCTTTTCTTTGATTTTTTCATCTTTGGTTGGCTCTCTAGTAAGACTGAACTCTGCTTCAAAGTTGGTATCAACTGATGTTTGTTTCACACCAACTTTTCATTGTGATAAAGGGATAAATTGATGGAAGCTTCTTGTTCCTGGGACCGTCCTAGCTTTTGCAAAGCGGGTTTCCATGCATCTGTGATATCTCAATTTGTGAGATGAA